ATTGGAATACCTAAATATACACTTTCTTCAGGTATAACGTATGAAGACAGTGTGATTTTCTACCGAATAACTAAGAGAAGACATATTCTTGTGCACGTTTTCTATAAAATATATTTGAATTTATAAGACCGTCGAAAATCAATATGAAAAATGCATGCGACTTAGGTAGTCATTTTTTTGCAGAGCGCGGTTCCTGCAGGAGGTCAAAAAAGAGTGCATCCAAGAGCCGACATTCTGATGAGTCAGAAATGCTATAGGATTAGGCCGCATGCCAGTCAATATTACAACCCCACCTAAGTAATCCTTCCTAGTCAAAAACACATTTCAGGATTTCAACCAACATTTAATGAGATCGGTCACGCACTGTACGTTTGCAGACTATGCTATATGCGCCTTGCACGTGCTTTTGACACGTTGGGCGGAGGCTTACTTCAGGTCAGCTCCCACCTCCAGTCCGTTTGACTCGGACCTGCCACAGACACATGATGAATGAGGGGAGAAGAAGTAAGGTCGATTCAGTGCGGATCCAGCGCATACCTTTCTTATTACAATAAAATGAAGTACACCTATCATGGCTTGGAAGACATCCAACTGAAAGGATATGCCCTCCTCTGGGCTCAGGGTCAGGTTGCACTGGCGCCCTAGTGCGGCTTTGATGGCCCTTCATGTCGTTTGTTGAAGTCTAACCCTTGTGCTAACGCAGACCGGCATGTTTGTCGTACTTGTGGACTTGGATCCAGCCATGTCAGCCACCGCCTACACGCCCATCTCCAACCGTTTTGATTTTGTGTTATCGCTGGGGTGTGGGGGGAGGTGGAAAAAGTAGGTTACCTAGACGCCATGCAAGTTCCCGTCACCGTAAACTAATTCACGCGCAAGTTGCCGCTGAATCCCCGGCACATTGATTGTCATTGTTAAGCACGTTAGACGAACCTCCGCATATGTCATTCGCGTCCATTTCTTAATGATTTTGGCTAAAGTCCGACTCGTACTTTCTTACCAGCTGTCCGGTCATCGGGTAAGTGACAGACGATAACCGGACGCTTCTGTGAGCCGAAAGGAATTGTATCTTTTAAAGACTACATTTTTTTACTGCTTTTTCCTTTATTCGGCTGAGCTGTCTTGGTAAAATTTATCATCTGTTTACTGGCATAAACATGGGAGGCATTTTTTATCCGTTAATTTTCCACAAAGGTATCTTGGGCTCCTTTGTGCAAGCTAATTTCGGCTGTGCAGGAGATATCTTGGTCTCGAATCGGCATTATGCACTTGGGAAATGCAGCGATCGTTCCTTGGGCCGTGGCAATCAGTATCCCTTTACCGAGTTTCTGGCTACTTTGATATACATGGCATATGTTTTGTCGTGGTCATTAACGTCCGTACCTCGTTTATATTCCTGGAGGTTTCTTAAGGGCGCAGTTGCATGGCCTCCTGAAAGCCTTCGATGTAGTTCTAGCCGTATGGCACTCTCGAAAGGCTATTTACTACTGCCGTTTTTGGGGTTATTAATTTCCTAGTCTCGATCTCTTCATTAAGGCCGTTACTCAAATGGGTGAGTGGGTATCAACTGCCTCCTCCGCCGTCCGCCATCTAGCTGTGGCTGCCCTGCAGCTCTACGGCAAGGCACCCAACTGTCGCCTTCCACCGGTGGTCCCCGGCGAGAGCTTTCCTGGTCCTAAACCCACAAATGACTCACTGGCAATCGGATGTAGCCTAGCTGCTGGCTTACCACACTTTGCAGAAGGCATGTGGCGAAATTGGGGCAGAGATACCTTCATCGCACTGAGAGGCTGCCTCCTTCTCTTAGATCGATTTGAGGTATGTCTGTAGCTGTTATTCTCCAGCTAAATGTGATGGCTTTCTTTTATGAGCCAAAATTTATTCTTGATCTCTGCTCTTGAATTTCCAGGAGGCTGCAAACCTCATCCTACAGTTCGGATCGTTGATGCGCCATGGAATGATTCCCAACCTTATGGGTGACGGTCACACGGTGCCGCCACGCTTCAACGCTAGAGACGCTGTTTGGTTTTGGCTATATTCAATTGTCTGTTTTGAGAACGCCATAGTAGAGAAGCAGGGACATGCACCCGGCTCTCTGAACACCGGCAGCAGCATTCTCAAACGCAAGGTTTGGCGCTGGTTTCCTCAGGATGATAGCGAGGGCTGGCCGGGTGAAGCTGATAAAGTTGACGTGGCCTCGAGCTCCTCGGACCCACGTGCACAACCACTCTACGACGTTATGCAGGAGGCTTTACAACGCCATGCCGAAGGCATTCAATTTCGCGAAAGAAACGCAGGAGACGCTCTTGATTGTCATATGAAGAACGAGGGTTTTGATGTGAGTCCGCCACTTTTACTTGCCTATTTCCACTCATGACTGACGACATTTCTGTGAGGGTTTTTTGCCAAGTTCGATGCCATTTACTAAAATAGTATGTAGATCAGATAGTCCTCATCTTAATCCGTCGTGTTAGCAAGTCCATAATTCCCCATCAGCAGACTTCTCAGCCACGTCATTTTAACTAGGAGGACTAGTAACGAGAACGTTGTGGTGGACATTGTCGGCCACGACGGTCGAACTGTCATATAAACAATACTCGGTCGCATTGAATCGCTGCGCAATCGATTATTATTGTTACCACTTTAAGTGTCTCTTCCCCGTTCTCCAATAAGGACTGGTAGATGAACATCACTCATCAGTAGCAAATACTTGCTTCAATGTTTCATTGATGTTTGACAATTACAAGGCTTCTCATTTTGTCTTCCTAAACTCATCCCGCTCAACGTATTTTGTTGAGTGTGCGCGATCCAACCTTCGCTGTTCATTAGACCGTCACTTTTCCACCCTACAGGTCACCGCCTCCATTCAATCAGACACGGGATTTCCAATGGGTGGTAACGCGTTCAACTGTGGCACCTGGATGGACAAGATGGGTGGATCAGACCGAGCGAAAAACCGCGGTATTCCGGCCACCCCACGCGATGGCTGTGCTGTCGAGCTGGTTGGCTTGGCCTACGCAGTTGTTTCGTGGCTAGACAAGATGCATAATGCCGACTCGAGCTACTATCCACACTCGGGCGTAAAATTGGCCAACGGCACTAGCCTGTCGTGGGGTGATTGGGCCAAGCTGATCCAACGAAACTTTGAAGACAAATTTTGGTCTGCACCTGACGCCAATCCTTGGAACAAGGGCTACTATAAAGACCTCTACGGCAGCAGTAACCCTGCCCGAGATGCTCAACTGCGACCCAATTTTCTGGTGACAATGGCAGTGGTAAGTCTCTTTGAGTAACAAAGTCCCGAAAGTGTTTTGCGTCATTTACGGCTCATGTGATCACTGAGTTACTCTGGGTAGTTTACAGTTTTGTAATCTAACGTAGGCTGTACGCCATGTCCTCCCATAATGTAAACTCTTTTGTCTCTTTTAGGCTCCTGACTTATTCACACCGGAGAAGGCCTGGAACGCCCTGGAAACAACGAAGAATCAGTTGCTCGGACCCCTGGGAATGCGCACTCTTGCACCATCGGACCCCGACTATCAGGGGTATTACAATAACTTTGAGGATACGGACCAGTTTGCAACGTCTCAAGGTTTCAACTATCACCAGGTAAGAATGCTTATGCGGTTTTTATGATTAAAAAGGTACATTGCCATTTTTGCGTTTCTTCATTCTCCTTTTTTAATCTCTAGGGTCCAGAGTGGTTGTGGTTGACTGGCTACTACGTACGGGCCCGTCTGGCAATCGCCAGTCAATTGGCCTCTTCCGACTCGGCCAAAATGGTTTTCGCAGTTCGGGAAGCTCAAGAAGTCCTAATGCGATTGCAACAGCATCTCGCCGGTTCTGCCTGGAGGTCGTTGCCTGAGCTAACTAACGCAAATGGCGAAGTGAGATACAGTTTGCTACTTTTCAACAGATTATTTTTTCATCACGTCTCTGTATTTGCTACCTGGTTCTTCAGAGAATGTCAACCAGAACGTTTCGTCTGCTAAGCTACGTTTATACAAGCGGTCACCTAGACTACCGCAATCGTTTCGGATTTTGTGGGCACAATTAATTTTCCGCCTATAATTGGGGCTATCGCCAGGAGAACTGTTTTCGTCCGGTGTGTTACCTTCGGCGAACCCATAAAATGTAAGATATAGGAAGTTTGGTCTGACAGCACTACTAGTGGACCCTTCGTCTTTCTTCCCCTGCGATGGCCTGGGACGTAGGCTCTCTGGTTTACAAACCAAACTACGTATGGGTTGTTATGAAATAAAAAATCGACTCAACTTAGGGTTTCTCCTGAGTTGCGTAAACTAGGAGAGATTTATCAGTTAACATGATTCGTTCCTAGTCCAGGCAGTTGGTGATCCGTGGTGGATTAAATTCTATTCATTTTTCAATGCCTGTCTCTATACTCATCGTTATTTAGTAGTCTGGACAGCTAAAGCTGCAGTACAACCCTAAACTCTGAATAGATGACTAAAAGGTGCGCAAGGTTATATCATTGTCCAACTACGCTGTAGTCACGAACCCTTCTGTCTTTACAGTAAATACATATTTATTCTATAGTAGCTTTTTAGTTTCCTGAGAAATTAAATGCGAACTTGGAGTAGATCAGTATATTTAAGGTCTATAGGCTCACACCTAACCTATTGTGGGGAAATTTATCGGCACTGTGGTTGCAAACTCAATCTTTTAGGATTTTGGTATTTACCCAACAACTGTCCTCCGCCACTCCAATTATGGTAACTGACATACCAACTACTCTAGTTTCAGTGAGTGAGGCTTAGGATAACTTAGGATTTCTGGCGCCCAGCAACTCTGTTGTGCATTTTAACATGACTTTACCTTTTTGTCGTTCCAGTATTGCCACGGAAGCTGTAGCTCGCAGGCCTGGAGTGTCGGTTGTGCAATCGAGGCTACAAAAGATCTCCTTAAGGCTTCGGACGGTATGCCGAATGACTTACGTCAACTCTGACCTCTTCTGCGCTGGGTTTCGTTGGGTTTCCTTCATGTTTCCGTTTCGACGTTAGTCTCTTCCTTTGTGTTCTGTGCCATCTTCAGCGGCATACCGTTCTCTTAGCCATTCTCTCCTTTTTCTTGGGACTCATACTCACTTACTGATTCTCCCAGTTGACATCGACTTCCACCGAGCCCCCCTGACTCGCACAGGGCCCTTTGGCGGAATTTCTACAGACGCAAATAGCGCTGACAAGTTCTCCACTACCAGCCTTCAAGGCTTCCCAGCTGGCCAACCAGGTACGGTAATCCGAGTGTCCATCTGGAACGACCAGTTGAGGGTGCTCTGCAATGTTAGCTAATCCGTGTTACAGTACCACCTTCATAACACCTACCCAGGGCTTCACACACCCACGCACAATGCCATCCCAGTCTGCCTTGTACGCTCTCCTAGTCCACTTCGCCAGATCTCATTTCCTTATATGCATATACATATATATGTGTCTGATTTTCATTCAAAAAATTCATGACATCTGCTATGGTCTTTCAAAAACTTTAACTATCTCATGATAGTTAATAGCAGGTCGCTTTAAAAATAAAAGTCTTTTTTTCAAATCTGCTTTCTTTTACCGAAACTGTTCTAATTTATTAGAGGTCGGAAAGTTCTTGAAGCAAATTACGGTTTACTGACCGACCCTAGAGTTGCTCTGAACAGCACATGCTGGATGAGACGAACGGTTTGTCCGTGTGAGGTTGCTCTTACTGATATTCCTTCCCCGATAATGACTTCAAATTCATCACATTGTGGAGAGAAATTTACTAGCTCACCAATTGTTACTTTTACAAATATCCAAAGCTTTGAGAGTGGGATTAGGTGAGGCAAGGACAAGCAGTGAAAGTCGGCCGCTCATATTATAGTGCAGACTAGAAGTTCGCATGCTGTTGCAAAGAAGGTGCCCGACTCGTGGTCGTCGGTGCCTTGCCATCGCCTTTATCACCTTCGTTTCTCTCTGCTCGTTCCTACTTTGCCTACCGATTCAATTTTGGGCCGGAACGCATCGTCGCCACACTTTTCAATACCTCGTCGCTCTGGTCAAGGCCTACTAGCGTTCCGCCAGTACGCAAATTGTCCATAATCCCAGTTATTCAATGTTTTGTCTGGCGTTCAACAAGGTCGGGTCTTGTCGCCCACTTTGTTTACGCCATCGCCCGGGTCCGTAGGGAGCAGCTCGCACTTTGGCGGTGTCGAATTTGCTGGATGACCGAGCTGTCCTGTCTGCATTAATTTAGGATTAACTACGGAATGTAGTCTCTCGGGTAAACGAGGTGGCTAGGCCAGTCCTTTTATCCATCAGCGCTACGAAGACCAGTGCTTTCGGACTGAATAGCCGACTGGAAGATACCTCTGAACTAGTGGCTGTCAACTTGAAGAAAATAGTCAAGCGCCTTGGGGTCAAGTTGCCGCCGAACGGACTCCATCATCAGCCGAGTAGACGCTGCTCGCAGCCCTCAGCAAGTTCCCAACGGTTCCTACAGACTCGTAACAACCTGGAGACTGCCGACCACCGTCGCCCGTGAACGACCCTGCGGCTGAACTACTCCGATTTCATCTTAAATGAGATGGTTCGCAATCACCGATGCAGCATCGTAGGAATGCCTCAAACCATCTAAGAAAGGCGAATGAAGTGTTTCGGCCATGTTATTTGTCCTTGTATGCATGAATTCAGTTCTGCTGTCAAACCTGGGGCCGACGCCTAATTGTAGCTCTTGAGGGAGTCAGCTGAAGGCCTGGCCTGACTTTATCAATACACAGGTATCATTATTGGGCTTTTAGTTTTCATCGATGGAGAAAAGATTGAGTCGAACTCTGAATCCGCTACTGTTGGTCGTCGCTTGTGGCGAATTATTATGGAAACAGTAGTAAAGCTGGTTAGCTGGGGAGTGGTGTCAGCCGTGTCAGGTCGGCGCACTTTAGGGCAACATTAGCGATGTTTATGCACATTTCCTAGTATTGTACGCAGTTGGGGGCACTTTAAATGGATAAGGCGGACTACTTTCCACAGGTAAAAACATCACTTAGCCTGGCTTATTTTTATTGTGTTCGCAGGAGTCTAAAATTCTTTAGCTTTTCTATTGCAAAGATGTTTTAATTCGGTCAGAAATGCCCTATGAGTGGTGGTAAGTAAATATGCGTTGTTTTTACGTTTCGTACATGGTTGAGGCAGTTTCTGGACAAAAAAAGCATTACAATTGAGAAAACCCCCATCCTGACGCTACGATTTAAAACGCGGAAGTTCCGATTTTTCGACGAAACACAGTACCATCAATCTGTATTCATTAATAGCTGAAGTGCTCGGCTTCCTCCCATGGTCTTGCTGGCATGCGTTTGTGAAAATGCCGGCAAGCTCGAACCGCGTTCCCCTATCGCCCCCTTTCTATCCGTTTGCACGTTGAACTAATCGAATGATTTACGAAATTGCATCGTGCTGGCGAACAGAGCAACCCGACCTGACCCGAGGTTGGTCGTTTGTGGTGCCGACAACGTCACCTCTCGCGGCTGTTATGGACGCTGGCGCATACCTCCGGTCATCGCGAAATTTTGCCAACGACCCCTGCTGGCTTACCGTCTTCTGCTGGCAGTACTTTTCTTGCCACAATTCAAGTAATTAGGGTGCAAAGCTTTATGATGCAGCTGATGATGTAGCCTGAAGGACTTATCAGGTCCCGGTCTTTTATTGTAAGCTGACGGCTTCATCAGGTGCAATGAGACATGCTTTTTATATGCAAGTCTGAAACTCCGAAATGGAACAGAATTCCTTCATTTCACACGGAACGGTGAGTTCCCCGTAGCCTTAAATATCTCGGATCGTAACTTTCAGAGCTCTGACCCCTAAGTCAGAATTGGAGCGTATGCCACTGCGTTCTGGAGGTACCGCTTACTCGACGCGTGCTAAATGACCAAAGGGACCAATATTCGTATTTTGCATAGGTTATTAACACTATTAAATTAACCGTTTTTTCGGTAAAGCAAAGCATGTCCGCCTTGTTTCTTCTTCCTTTGTGCACAATCTAAAATCTCCAAGTTGCGGTATTCAAGCTTATTTTTAAACCACTCAAAAACAGAATTCATGATAAGGAGACAGCCTTAGTGCTCAGTCCACAATTTCGGGACGTTGTTTCAAACACACGCCAAAGAGTGCTTATAATCCCATAGTAATTATCGAAATATCTATTTAGATCTTTTCCATCCTTAGGGTGCAAGTTATGGCAGTGTTACAAAGTCCGCAACCTACCCCGTCAGACCGAGGTGAATTCCTACTTCGATTTTCTCCGCAAACATTTGGAATATGTCGTTTTAAACCCTTTTATTGTTTAGTACTGGCCTCTCTTCCCTAAGATCCATATTCTCAACGTGGCTGACACTAGGTCTGGAGGTTTGTGACCGCCGTGTTCTCTCAAAGTCTAAGCCTTCCCTGCACTTGTTGTTCTCTTAGTTATAAAATATCCCAACGCAGAGACGCAAACAAGAAAAGCCATGTTCTATTTAATTATTGTCAGTCAAAACTTCATAATCCCTCCGAATACTGACACCGAAGAGCCTCCGTTATAAAGCGCCAGTGAATACCGAATCGAGCCGATGTGTCATACAACGCTTCGGAAAGCAAATGATAGGAGTGCTGATCAACGACTGTCACTTACGCTTGCGCAAGTAACTAACGGTCATAGAAGAAAGAAGGCGCGGAGTGCACGACATTGCTCGGCGAATCAGTTACTGAGTGTCTGGACCGAACAATATCAACTGTGGCAAAAGCGAGACAGGAAGTGAAACGCATGAATCTAGACCAAAAGCCGTCAAATTGAAATGGGAATGGGAAGATCGTTGCACTAGTTGATGGACTGGGGGCCAGCAAACCATGATTCCAGTAGCTCCCGGCTCACGCGGCCCCAGTCCATCAACCAGTGCAACGATCTTCCCATTCCATACTCCGTGCTGAAACTTCGCCCAGGCGGAGTAACAAGCCATGGGGGGAGCGCAGGGGTGAACACTTTTCCAAAACCGGGGTCGGTTCGTCAGATGGTCGAGCAATCATCACGCCAACATCCAACGGACGTGATGAAATTGCAGCAATTATCGACTCGAATGTCGGCCATCAAGCAATGATCACACCAAGTGCGACGATCCCGGATGAAGGGGGGAGCCGTGAATGTTCATAGGGATGTGGTAGCATGGCCACTGCATCCTATAAATACCGCAGCCCCTTGTGCAACAACCACCCGTTTCTGTTTTTTGTCTCTGATGATGGATTCTAGTAGGAATCCGAAACGTCAGGCTAATAAAGCTCTTGTCCCGGCGATCGTGTCTCCTTCTTCAAAATCAATGGGTTCCCCAATATCCAGCCTAGTTGCGGAATTGGTCCTACAAGAGCTGGAAAAGGTTGCTTTCAGCCATTAGAAACCTGCGTTTTGACGCCGATACGTGGACGATGCATTCGTCATTATTGAAAAGGACAAACTATCGGGTTTTCGAGACTTACTTAACAGCATATTCCCCGACATTCAGTTTACAAGAGAAGACGAGGAGGACGAGAAACTACCTTTCCTGGACGTACTCGTCACGCGCACACCTGACGGTGAACTCAGCACTACAGTGTACAGAAAGGTGACCAATTCAATCCAGGTCCTCAACTATCATAGCAACCACCATTGGTGCACAAACGGGACTGTGTGAGGGCGCTTTTCGACGACGGGGTAAAAACGCACTGTAGCGAGCCCGAAGGAAGGATGCAAGAACTACGGCATCTCCGGGACCAATTAACAAAGAACGTCTACCCAAATAGTTCTATCAGTCGCTGCATACGCACGCACCCACGCCGGACAAACGGAAGAGAGACACCAACAATTTGGCACTCCCTACCGTACATAAAGAATGTGTCCGAGGCCACAGAACGCATTGCGTCAGAGCTAGGCGTGGGCATCGCTCATCATCCGACGGCCACCTTGCGTAGCAGGATCATGAAAATGAAGGATCGACTGGACGCAGGTGGACAGTCGGGCGTAGTCTACCAAATCCCGTGCCAAAACTGTCCTTGCCACTACACAGGCCAGACAGGACGACGTCTGAGCTCGCGAATACTTGAGCACAAACGGGCCGTTCGGAGAGGCGACCCCCTATCTCAAATACCCACTCACACGCTGGAGGAAGGCCATGAGTTCGACTTCGCCAACACGCGGATATTGGCGCGAGCCGGCAACAAGACAGGGCGAGAGCCGTTGGAGGCGTGGGTGTCGGACACCAACTCTATCAACAGACACATAGATTTGCCGGCGTGTTATCACGCGCTCCGCCCACGCAGCCGGGTGGCGCAGCTCACACCGTCGCGAAGTACAAACGGCGTCACCGCGCCGAGGACCCATCGTGCACCAGGCGGTACAAACCCTACCTAGCCACGGACGTACTCCCCCCCGCAAGGACGAGCTATATAAATGTTCACAATTTGCTGTACTCAAGTAGTTTCTGATGATGAACTCCAGTTCGAGTTCGAAAGCTCAGGCAAATAAACCTACTGTCCCACTGATCGTGCCTTCGCCTTCTTTTAAACAAGAACCTGGGATGCACATATTCTCTTCCATTCGTGAAGGTAATTCTTTTTGGAATCTTTAAGACCCATGCAGATTGAGGTGTAGAAGTTAAGCATGCAAGCATAAACAGAAGAACACCGACTTTGGTGACACCCAGGAGCAATGTAAGCAACGGAAGAAGACGTTCAAATGAAAATTAAGATTGCTTGTCAAAGGTTTCAAAAAGCTGTCTACTTTTTGTCAGTGCGGGTGAGCTAACCTTATGTGTCGAGTTGAGTTGCTCAAATGGATTCGAACGTTTTCTACCATAAATTCGACCGATATTCTGCGGCGCACGTAGTCCATTTGACACCATTCAAGTGAACGTGACCTCAGCTTAGAGGTCCTAGCACTGTACTATCAGATGTAGCTGTTTGTGGATTAAGTGGTCTCCATGTTCGGAGAGATTCGGCATGTAATAATATGTGCAAAAAGAAGGCAAATAAAGAGAATTTTTCTATTTTATATTGAAAAAGAGTTGAATTTATTAGTTCAGAATCGGTTACCATGTCACATAAGTTAACATCCTCTTCTTCCGATGTCGAGTAAATACAAGCACAAACGTTAATATGGAAGGCTGTTGCGTTCATTTTCACATTCAACCATAAAAATACTCTCGAGAAGTTTCCCAATGTAGACCAAAAACTGGCCGTCAGACTCGTCGGCAGAAATGCATATCTATATTCGGAGGTGGGCCTGGACCAGTTTAATTTAGGGTGGGCGCCAACAACAGGGAATCATGGCGCCTGCTCTGTCGGCTACAGTATGATCGTTGTTATTCCTCCCCGAACGCAAGTCGGATATTTGAGCATTACTCCTGTTTCTCCGCCTGCTCCTTATACCAGCCGGCAGACGATGACCTGTTTAACGCCTTTGAAATCCAGGTGTGACTAGCTGACGACGGGTGTTTAGACAAAAAATAAAACTTCTGCCCGTCTTATCTTTGTCAGTAAAGCTTCCACTGTTGTTTACTAACTGATGTGCGACCGTCTGTAACGACTTTAGTCTGGATTTTCATGGCAAAACACACGTTCTATCCTCCATCCCACAATCAGTTCGAAGTAGTTGACGCCAATTAAATGCGATTGAATAAGGTGTTTTATGCCTCCATGGCCTACGATCTTGCAGCCAATTCTACATAACGGTCAGTGTCTGTTTTGGGCACAGGAAAGTGTTTTTCGTTGATACCGGATAAAGTGCATGTGATCATGAGCGCCAGGGTGAAAATGATGTCAACCGAGGTGATGTCAACCTGGTGGAACTTGAATAAGAGATGTATACAAACCGTAGATTGATGGGCTTGGCTGTGGATCCACCCGTTTATGTCATCGCGGACTGTGTTTACTACTGTTATTTAGCTACCACGGACGGGTACTGGTAGATCTGAACCGGGTACCGGCGCATTTCCGACGAAGGCATGAGATGACTTGTAGGCCATGCTGGAAGTTTAAAAGCGAGGACTCAACTGTAAGTGTCGTGAGTCTAACGTCGGCTACCCGGGCCTTCCTTTTGAGGTATACACATCCCTTAATCCTTTTCAACGAAGTTTTTGGGACCGATCGTCTCTCACTCCAGTAATTACCACCTGCTAGAGTAAATTACAAATCTGCAAGCGATATAGCAAGATGCACAAAAGACAAGTTTATATGGATATTTTAAGTCGCAAGTGAGGCAATGAGACCGACTTTACTTGTTTCTGGTTAAGAACACGCGGCTGACACATAATGAGACCATTAAAGCACTGGTCAGTTGCAACTGCTCCGGCAGTAATTGATGAGTGAGGCAAATAAAACGGCCCAAATGTTCAGTCTCTCCTCATCTTCTTTTGGGCGGGCTCCGGCGGGGCCTCGTAGCTCAGGTAGTTAGAGCGTTGGCTGCGCTAAAGCCTTCCCCTTACTGTGTGGGTTCGAATCCCACCGAGGCGCCGAGTTTTTCGCAGTTGGGCCAATATGAATTATTGAAAGTCTGCCAAAATATCAATGGAAAACAGATAAGGATAGGTTGTGTAAACCCACTGGGATTAATGAGTCTAACCACCTGCTATCTTTTTAAGTGGAGCTTGTTTAGTTTATTAATTCATAGTTACAGGAAGTATCCGCATGCACCCATGCCGGTACTCAACATTAAACGCGTGCTGTAAGGATCCTCGGCTGCGTGTTGATTTACTTCGTCTCGGTTAGAAAAAAAGCGCACGCCTTCCTGAACGGTTTCTGTTGTCAAACGTGTACTTCATCAGTTACTAACGTCTTCGGAAAACCTAGCTTAATATTTTCTCCTGCTTTAATACTCGGCATACAACGCCTGATGCAAAGATCCTCGAATGCGTGTTGTTTTACTTTCCCTCGGCTGGAACGCAAACACACGGCTTTCTTAATAACTCCAAACCGTTTCTGTTGTCAAAAGTGTACGCCGTGATTTATATACTTCTTTGGGGATATTTTCGCGCACGTACCCATATAACCAGTAATAAGACAGTCGAATTTATGTACAAAAATTCGGAAAGGAGTCCTTTAGGCTACCGGTTCAGGAATCTGTTACACTGGATATGCTTGCGTAACATGCGAAAGGAATATTTCCCAAGCATGCTTTAGCCCCCTGCTGTCTATGCCAAACCGCGGACTGTATTTAACTTCGTCTCCATGGGCCCACATTGCTCGACCAGAAACCGGTTCTCCTTCGTGGAGCTTCAGTTTCAGTCTGCTCCAGTAGGCCTCAATCGTGTTGGTGTGTTTTCCTGTGGTCGGATCCTTGAAATGCTTTGCATGATTGGCTGCAAAGTGTTCATAGGCTTCAGATTGGAGGCTTTTGTAGGAATTCCTTTCATCTGTCACTATTATGCTTCCTTCGACCACCCATTTAGTAATGACAGATCTGAGGTCTGGTCAACTTATATCGTCTACTTGTTCAATCGGTACTTTCTTTCGTGAAGTATCATACATACTAACGATTTAAAATTGTCTTCTGCGTTTCCCGACATTGTATTTCCGTCTGCTGACCAGTGCTTCATCAATTTGGACTTCTACCCCGGGACCGCCAATATGGTCTCCTTCGTCCATTAGGGCGGCGGAGCAGATATTCCGGCAAAGTGCATGCCATTCCACCGCAGTTTTATGACATAATCCGATATCTTTGGCAATTTTTTTCACTCTGACGTCCCTCATAAAGGCCAGTTATATTTTGATTATTGTCCTGATGGTAAGCCTGCTGCTTTCAAAAACGGAGTCCTTTCTTAGAGCTTTCCTCCTTCGACATCGGCCGCATCGAAATAATTATCCGTCGGCGTGCAACCTCAATATTTACGGATGCATTTTGCGTCCAGATCTGCATTTTACTGCATTAGGTAGGAGACCCTAGCTTGGCAGTATTCCACTACAGTAGGAGGGTTAACTCGTGAAATGACAACCAAAATTCCGAAATGCGTTTTCGTTTCGAAAATGTTAATTAAGTTGGGTTGTAAAACTAGTCAGCCTGCAACATAATTTTATAATATTTCACTTACCGCAGGATGCCGGCTGTCGAATGAACTTCCTTCCGGCTGCATGCAAAGACTACACTCTGTAAAAAATGATTACTTATGTGGCATGCATTTTTCTCATTGATTTTCGATGCCTCTAAATGTCCACTTAGGTTTTATGGGAAACATGCATAAAAATATTCATTCTTTTGCTTATTCGGTAAACAATTACGTCTTCTCCCAATCTTATACTCGAAGGAAGTATATAATTCGGTTTTCAAAAACTTTTTCGATTCCTGAATAATTTTGAACCCGCCCTACCGTTACACTTAAGTTCAGAATTTCCAAACTACAGGCCGTATATTTTCCGCGTGCGGAAAACCACACATTTCTCTACGGTAAAAAAGGGGGACCATATAGAATTCATAAAATTTGGCGGTGGATTTTATCCATATTGTTTACTTTACAAGCCACATTGGTTAATGCAGAGACATTACGATTTATGAACGGCCATTTCACGGTATTTAAAAGTTCCACAATTTGAAACTTTTTTAAAACCAAATTATGTCCCTCCCTCGAGTATGAAATTAGAAGAAGACGTAATTATCTACCGAATAAGCAAGAGAATGAATATCTTTATCATGTTTTTCATAAAATCTAACTAGACATTTGGAGGCATCGAAAATCAATGTGAAATATGCATGCTACCTAAGTTATCATTTTTTACAGAGTGTATTTTTGCATGCAGCCGAAAGGCAGTTCATTCGAAAGCCGGCATCCTGTGGTAAGTGAAATATTATAGAATTATGTTGCAAACTGAATAGTTTTACAACCCAACTTAATTTCGCCAGAAAATCAACCTGTAACTCTCTTTTTTTCGTGTATCATGGAATGCCTGCTCTGTATTTTGAAAGAATAAGGCATAATTACCTACTCTGCTCATTAGTGCATTTTGATTATTGGATATAAACCTTATATACATATTTTTTATTTACAAAATGTCTAACTAGCATTTATAACTTGCCTTATCATGCAGATAAATACATGTGTTCTTACTTACGCTATCTGAAGTTCTATGTGTTCATTAGGGTGTATTTGCACAGCTCCTCCAACATTCATATGCATTACGTTTTCTGGCCGCAAATGCTCGGGGTTGCATTATTTGACACTTAGCATTCTTCGTCCTCCTGGTTGTTTGTTCCATTGTTCCTGACCTACCTCAAACTTGCCAGCGGCGGTTTATTTAAATACCTTTTATTTATTGTCGGTCGACTTTTGTTTATTCTTCGAGTACCGCGCCCAATTCCGTTAGTATATAAAAGTATAGGGGAATTTCAACGGAAATCTACGTAATTTTTATGTTTTACTGCGTCCACATCGTTCCCCGTGCGCGGTTATGCCCCAACCATAAAACCCCTATTGCCTCCATTCCCATATTACACGCGTCTGCGGTTATTGGTTGCCAGGTGGGTTTACACAACCTACCATTACTGCAAAACCTTATGACGCGCATTTCATCTCAATTAGGGAGGCAGCGTGCCTAGAGAACTGTTCACTTTTGTGGTTTTTTGGAGACGAGCTGTCAACTGTTTGGATGATATTCAAGAACTTAGCTATTCACAGTGTTGCGTTTCCCTTCAGTTTATTTATGCTTTAGGTATCACAGTCGAGGTGAGGATCCGTCCAAGCCATCCACTTGCGGCCTCCCTCGTCTCCGGTCTTCTGGACTCTGTCTTGACACCCGGTTCAGGCGAGGGAGGAGAGAGTGTGGTAGATGCAGCGCAAGTTTGCGGGCACTATAAACCCACGCGCAAGTCACCGTCCCTGCTCCCACCACCTGCTGTGGGGCATACGGTGGACATCAACGGTCGAACTATCGCCGTGCGTGTGGAGCTGAATGGTTCCAGCGTTCCACTTTTCGAAGTTTTTGTTTGTTGTCTTGAGTCCGGTGTGATATGAAAAAGTATAACGTCTAAGAAAGTATGCTGTTGAAAGTAGGAAACCCAGAAAAACATCGCCGAGGGATGGAGGTAGTCCACCGATTCACACTCTCGCACGGGACCCTACGCGGGCCACACACGACCTGGCTCTAAACCCTAGGCATGCCAGTCCTCGGTCGGGGTGTTCACTCGGCTCATGTGAAAAGACCGCATTAAAAAGGAGTCATTGCATCCCCGTTCTCAGTCTTCACCAGAACTGAGTTACACTGTCAGTCAGAAACATTGAAGGCTACGTCTGCAAGCTCGTCGTATTTATTACAATGCAGACTGCGCTGAAGTGTTGGGCGTATGAAAAAACATCCATTGGTAAGAGCCTAATATGTAAAACCACTTGGCAAACCAACACTCAATATCCTCTTTAATAACGGAATGGTGAAAATCAGGGGTTTTGTAGGTGGGGAAAGTGCCAAAAAGGGTAATTCAGAAGAAAAAATGCGGGCAAGCAATAAATAAAAAGAAGTTTGTCTAAATCCCGTACTCAATTTATGAAGGTAGCGAGCAACCCAAAAATGTCTTAGCAAACTGTAGACTGTCGAAATCTCAAAATACCGTCAAATCATACGGATCTCTTTTTGCTGGAAAGACAACGCTCCCGAAAGCTAAGCAATAACCGGACGTAATCCAAAGCTAATTAAGCGACCCCTAAGTCAGCCCCCTTATTGTAAGAACGCAATTCGAAAGCCAATTTAGCGCCGAGTTGCATGGGTAATAACCTAACGTGTAAGTTTAAATCGCAATCCCTAAATGAAAACATAGCCCTTATCCTTAAACTAACCCTAAAGCTGCCATCAACAACAACTCTAACACCAAAACTACCCTAACCCTAAAACCAACCCCAACTCAAACACCAATAGTAAAAGTAACCCCACCCTCACCTATGTAATTAAGACTACCACTTACCATAAACCTAATCCTGGACTCTTACCCCCAACCCCAGCTATAAAGTCATGAGCAGTTGCAGCAGCCCTAAAACCGCCTGAACGGCGGCAAAACCCAAATGTTACACGTCTGCCTTTAGTCCCCTCCCCCTCCAAAGCCATGTTCTCTACGCTGACGTCCTGCCCCTCACTCCCCCCCCACAGCATAAACCCAATGGTCCTAGTCCCAACTCTAGACGCTTAACAGCAGCACGTATAGTAAACTGAAGACCGACTGACGGACTCTAACCCGTAGTATTACATGCTTACCTACATAAATCCCGTAACCAGTTAACCACATAGAAGAAGAATGTGGTCCTGCACATTAGATCCTTACCTATCCAGTTAGTCATGCTGTACTTCCTAGGCGAGCAGTAAAATTGAGTGGTAGTAACAAACTCCTCAACCTGAGAACGTTTCAGAATTTCCAAATACAACCAAACAGCATTCCTGCCCCAGGTGGCCCGGCAGTGTTGTAGTTTCATGGAATGGTTGGGTGAAATTTAGCCAGCGATAGTTTGCCTTTTCTCTTTCCAAAAAATCACATGTCAATGTCACATTTGCAGAGTTTTGTTTTACTGTTAAGATTATCTGACTGCGACCATTTGACAGTATGTGTCGGGCCTCCAGATTCAAAAATTTTTCAAAACTAGGTGTAGCTTGATTTAACTACATTTTCAGATCGGCAAAGTGGAGAGATTCAGCTTAATAACTTGAGAAATAAAAGGAACTCACCGAAACATGTTTACTGAGATTCTGGCGTTTCAGAGAGCCTGGTCGGATCACCATTGTCAGAGCGCAAAATGCACGTAATCGAGCATAAATAGGAGTGGTATGCCGCGCTGGTCGGCTTCATGCTGATCGCTAACTCGGACCTTCGGGGGGATGTTTGGTGGGCTCCTTAATTGCGTGTGTTGTTGGTGGACACACCGTCGGGGGAGGTGGTGGAGCCACTGTCAGGGTTGGTTGTTCTGAGGGCTCTTTTCCTTCCTCTTCGAGTGAGCTCGTCGTAGGACTCTGTTTGCGCGGCCTTCCTAAGTTCTGTGTAATTGTCTTTTCCTGAGCTTTATGGACGTAATGACGCAGGACTTTGGAAACTTCAAGAAGATCCAAATGCCTACTGATGGAGTTGGCCTCCGAGTGCCCTACCTCGAGTGTTGGCCATTCTGACTTTGAGCTGTCTCAGCCTAAGATGGTAGCTCCCTAAGGATCGAAAGCATTGACCATGTTCTCCAAAGTGCGTTGCAAGTTGAGAGTTTAAGTCTGGCTTCCTAGTTGCCGGACGGAAATTGAAGAACAGTATACAATAGCACCAATAGTCAACCTCAGAAGGCCGTGCAAACACAGTCCTACGACGAGCTCACTCGAAGAGGAAGGAAAAGAGCCCTCAGAACAACCAACCCTGACAGTGGCTCCACCACCTCCCCGACGGTGTGTCCACCAACAACGCACGCAATTAGGGAGCCCACCAAACATCCCCCCGAAGGGCCGAGGTAGCGATCAGCATGAAGCCGACCAGCGCGGCATACCACTTCTATTTCTGCTCGATTACGTGCATTTTGCGCTCTGACAATGGTGATCCGACCAAGCTCTCTGAAACTCCAGAATTTCAGTAAACATGTTTCGGTGAGTTCCTTTTATTTCTAAAATCAGCTAAGTTTATTAATGTATGATCTTCTTGCATAAATTCTGTTCGCCATTCTTTGATGACCTGGGGACAAGTTTAAATAAAAACTTTGATTGCTCCCCGTTTTTCTAATTGCTGATTCCGGATTTCTATATTCAACGATAAGTCATCTAAATTTAATGTCATTCGGGCAAGGAAAGACATTTTGTCAGGGTGAACTTGTCTGAATAGTTCAGTTCTTTTCGGTAAATAAATGTAAGAATTCCGTTAAATGAATTGTGGAAAAGGACAAGTTTGCGAGAGCAGCGTTTTTTAGCAGGCCACTGTTTCGGACAATTGGGGGGCTGTCTGTAACCAAAAGCTTGTCCATTTTGTTGGCTTTGTGCTGATCAATTTGTCCTATACATCCGCTGATGTAATAGCACTGGCGGTGACTAACCTGTCTGACTCTGTCTGTCTCTGACGTTCCGAACCACGTTGTCTACGTCGACTAAAGGGTATGTTTGCCTTAATCTAATGGAACTTCAGGAAGGCCTCTTTCCTCTCGATCTTCCGCAAACAAAATTAGTTCGCGAAATTAGGGCTTACTCGCTAAAATTCAGTAAAAACCGGTTTTCGTTAGGTAGCGGGGCAGTTGACCGACGTGGAAGCACACGCTGTATCTCATGAAACCAGCAAGCAAAATGAATTCAGATAACGCAGAATCTATAACAAACTTACAAATGCTTCATGATAATTCAGTACAAATCAGCATAACAGGTGTTTGAAGGTTCATATTTAAACAAACGGCTCATACCTTAGGACAGCTGAGGTAAAAAGATAGGCAGAAACAAAATTAAACGAGGAGGAACCAACGGAAATGCGGGTGGGTTGGGACAAAGCCGCGTCCGCCATACCCTGTTTTTATCCAGCCAGTAGTAATTCGGACCAGCAGCTAATATACACAGAGATGAAGTCATTTGCAAATTTATTACCTAGCTAAGACAACAAGCGTAAGCATGAATGCAAGAGGCATCTCATTAAAAAATTGATGGAGTACGCATTCGGCGTAGGAGGTTTAGATGACGTGTGTACGTTAAGTGGACTGAATTAAACCTGTAGAAACGTTCATTAAGTAAAAATTCGATAGCCGGCCTGTACTTACGACGTAAAAATTATTCCTGATCTGTTCCGTCCTATTTTTACAGTGTACCAGTCAGCATCTCGTCCTCGCAACAGATTTCCGTTAAGCGGAAGTGTGACTCTAAGGAATTTTCTGGATTACTGGTTACCCATGGTGGACTAACAAACCTGAAATGTTTAGTTGTCGTATAAGCGGTACGCACAGGATGAAAGTAACTTCTTCCTCAAGCTTTTGTGCAGAGTTCGGATTGTCTATTCAATATACCATGGCCCTTTTTATGCATTTACTGGTACGTTCATCGAATAGGCTGTTGTAAACTGTTAACGTCTTGCTAGTTACAGTAAACAAATCAGCATTCTATTTAAAAGTTCATCTGCAATTCTGCAGAACACTTTGATCGTATAAATTCTCCTGGCAACCATTCAGTATTTGGTCCGTTATCTCCAGCGAAAGATCGTCTGGCAAAAACCTCAGCAACTCAAGTCTGACAATTATTTCTCAGTAATCCCATGACTGAAAGTGAGGACTCATTTTGCCGATTTCTCTGCACTTTTTAAGGCAACCGCTAGGGGTTGAAATTTATCCCTGCGTCCCTCAATGTCCGCCTTGTTCATTCTGATAGCAATCATGTTCGCAAATTATACTTTGGGGTTCCGCCTAAAATTTCTTAATACTTTTATTAATAAAGACAAGAGCGAAAAAGAGTTATCATTTGCCATCGTTTGCCAGTAACTTTCAGCTGCAGGTTGCGGTGACCTGCTATTTTAATCCGTGTATATCTGGTCACCACACAAACTCTTGTCACTTGAGCGAGTGGCCTACGTCCTGTTTGTTGCAGTCGCAAATGCTCAAATCCATGTGCGGCTGATTTGCATCAAATCTGACTTAATTGCAGGACGGAGTGTGCCTCCGCTGTTTCACTTTGGAGATATACTGTGCAACCACCTGTGAGGATACTAGCTTGCAACAGCAAGAAAAAGTAAAAAGCTAATCGGTGAGCGCCGATCCTCAGGAATGTTAAAATGGTTGAATGCTCTTACCATATGATTTAAGAGTTCGCAAGTTCGGACCGCATTTCTATAAGCATTGGAGTTCAGAAATACATACCTAGACACGTTCACCAAGTTTTGTTCTTATTTCTCGAATATATTGGTCGGAAGATTGTTATCGAGATTACCTACCAGTTCAGTTTTAACTTCAATACAGACTGGTCACAAAGCCAAAATAAGTCCTATGTGAGCCGATATTAGAACACTCAAAGGTCTGAATTAAGGGAAACTGCCGCCAAGAAA